TGTCACTCATATAATATGAATGAAATGACTGAAAAAAGGGCTTTGTGATTTCATTTTATGTGTGTTCCACATAAGGGTGTGCTCTAGGGTCAAGTGTCTTGACCCTAGAAATATTTAAACATCTGCAATGGCTGCTACACTTACATATATCTAATATAAACAAAGCTTTGGTATTAAATATTGGCTCTGGCGCTGACCCACACACGTAGCTATGAAGAAGTCCTCTGGAAGGATTCGCTCACAATATTGTGTTTTTCAGCCTTTCGAAGATCTGATGAACTTTAACCGCAGGGACACAGCCTTCTCTTACAATGGTGATGATACCTAAATGAAAAGTGAGAGCAACTTCCGTTACAGTGTGCTGGGTAAAACTAACATGAGCGTGGGAGAGACTTTGATTGTTTACACATACCTTCATCAATCCTCAGACAGTTGACCACAGTTGAAGCAACAACTTCATTGGAGTCTCCGTCACAGAGGACCCCTTGTATCTTGTGCCCCAGTCGACTGCGATTCAAAGAAAGTAGAAAAATATTGCATATGTTGAGAAAGCAATGCTTTTAGTACCATGATGTGTGACCCAGCATTTATTAAAGTTCATTTTGAAGTATCTTACTTGATGACCATGCTGTGGTGGGTGCTGTCTGGTTCTCCACTGGGATTGGCAGACGTAATAGCCAGGGGTCCAGTCATGTCACACAAGTGGCACGTCACGGTGTGGTCAGGAACACGGATCATGATGCTGTCCCTGGTGCCAACACGGTCGTAAGCTGCTCCAACTCCTGCAGAAGAGAAGTTAACATTGGAGGTGAGGGTTTATTTTGTTGATCTGAGAGTAAACTATCATTAAAACCAGGCAAATTTCAGTCCACAAGCATTAACAAAACAACTTCACAATGTTTACCTAGTTTGAATAGCCAGTCTCCTTTGCTGACGATGCAGCTGATGCCTCCTGGATAAACGTTCCTCATGAACTCCCACAGCAGAGGGCTGAACGGAGGCTTGGCTGCCACCAGCTGCTCTACACTAGAAATGCAAATGCATATAGGCTTCTCTGCTGGCCGGTCCTGGAGGAGAGACATATTTAACATTATGTTGATGGCTTTTCCTTAAATTAAACACAGTGGAAAATAAATGTCACATTGCGCTTGAAAGGTATTCCTGTCTTACCTTAATGTTGTAGATTTTCTCTATAGCCTGGGGATTCTTGCAGGAGGCAGACAGAGCGTACACAGTGTCTGTGGGAATACCACACACGCCTCCTTCTTCCAGAAGCTGAGCAATTTTTAAGAGGCCGCTTGTGAGGCGAGAGCTGGCCACCGGACAGGGATGCTTCTCAGATATTTCTGACTTAATTTTTTCCTAAAATTACAGATGATACAGGAAATGTTCAAAATAATTTATGTGTAGTTGAAAATTCTTAGCGGATCAAACATTTTGTCATTAAAGTTATTACCTTAAAGAGAGGAGGCCCCATTGGCATCACTCTTTGTGAGAACATGTAGTTTATCAGTGACGCCAAAGTGCCATATATGCATATGAGAGACACCAATGCCAGCATGGCAACTGTGGGAAAAAATAATGTCAAAAGGTGAATAAATTGAGTGAAAAGGTGAAAAGATCCATCAAGATTTAAGTACCTAATGCTTGTCATCATATGTGGCTCATGATAACTTACTTTCAAGTTCATATGGCAGCTTGTTCAGGGTGGAGAGAAGGAAGCAAACAAGAACCACCTCCATCAGCGTTGTCAGGAACAGAAGAACCAGGTTTCTATAAGCAGCTGGACCAGTTAACAGAAGATTACCATAATAATCAAAACAAAGAGAAATATTGACAACAGAAAATGCATATATACAACTTACCAATCAGCATAAGGAAAGCATTGATGACAAGGAAGGCGATGGCTCCTGCTGTAAAACCATAATCTGCCTCAGTCGAGAGCTGAAGTTGGTTACCTGAATGAAAGGGATTCGAGATTATACTCCCATCTAAATTGCAACAGATATTGTCATTATGTTCATATATTAGCACTAACATACCTGCAAATCTAAACCATGTCCACGTTGCCCAGACAACAACATAGATGGAAGAGATGACTGATCCAAAGCGGCCGCCTCCTGTGACTTGCAACCTGCTGACGTAGGCCTGGATGATAGCTCCAGAGATCAGGACCCAGGGGATGGTCAGGTGCAGGAGAGAAGGGTTTGTACTCATGCTTCTTGAATGAAGAGCTGACAAAGCTGCAACCCCATTTGAAAGATAGAACAGAGCGTCTGAGGTCTGATCTCCTGGGGGAAGCACATCCTGATCTCCCTGCTTAGACCTTCTACATCTCAAAGCCCTAATCAGCTGCTCAGAAGACACTGGTTGTGGTCCTACAGGTATGAGAGACTTTTCTGCAATGGTGTTGATGAGACGGGTGAAGGTGCCATAGATGGAGACTGCAGTGAACAGAGAACAAGCTACTCCGAAGAAGATGTAGTAACCCTGCAGGGGGATCTGAGGGACTGTGGAGACTGTGAGCAGGACAAAGAACAAGTTATGGATCAATTCCAGGACGTCCATGTTCAGGCTCCCTACACAGAGCACCAAGGCTGCCACCACAAAGAACCAGTCTCCTACCATTGCTTCCCTTCCAGAGACAACTTTACCATCCTCTACAATTAAAACAGACACAACAAACTCCTCCCAAGCTTTGATCAACCAATATGTGGCATGCAGCCCAAACTTTGTGGTGTGGTAGCAATCTTGACGCAGGTGGGCGTAGTAGCTAGAGAACAACTGGGCAACTGAGATGATTGATACCCAGGCAACACCTAGACCAAATGACTTCATGTACCCAAAGCTGTAGAAAGCAAAGATGAATGGAGCAATGGAGTCACAGAAAAAACCCAAAGCCATTGGCTCTGCATACTTTGTGTTCTTCTTCTTCTCCTGGCCTCCACTCTGAGCTTTTCCTGAGTTGGGGGTCCCTAGTAAGAGAACATTAAAGAGTGGGGTACCAAAACCTTTCAGGGCTAGACGTTGAGTCAGCCCTTTGATGAGAAGAGCCACTGAACCATAGATAGCAAAGATCAAAATGAGCAACTCCAGAACCCCAGAGACAATCAGAGCCCAGGAATATGCAGCTAAAGCTACTGCTTCAAAGATCAAGGTGGCTGTGATGGCTCCAAAGACAAAAGGCATGATGTAGTTGACCGTGGCAGAGCAAAATGCAAGAAGAAAGGACAGGATGATGTAGGGGACCAGACCGGCAATCGCTGACTCCTCCATGGACAGACATAAATAGCACTGCGTGGAGTTATTAAGAGACATGTTGCTCATCATCATGTTGGTGGATGAATTGCTCATCATCTGATCTGTTGTTAATGTCATATTTGGATTTTCAGGCAGGGCACCATAATAGATTCTAGTTGCACCATAACTAGCCCAAAGAGCAGAATAGCCAATGAAGGCGGTGCCACTCAGGTGGTCGTATTTACGGAAGGAGAGCAGCCCAGCCACCAGCTGGCAAACACCACCAATCAGGATGAGATGTACACCTGGAAAAAAAGTTGCAAATTGGGGTAAGCTCTCTTCTTAGAACTTTAAACTGTGCCTAATTTGGTTATTTACATCTAGTTTTACCTGCGAGAATGTTCTCTACTCCAACTGGAGCGTTGCCATTGTGAGCTGTGTTGAAGTTCTGGAGAAGTACAAGGAACGCACTGATCCCATTTGACAACATGCCTAAAACTCCCGGTTCCCCGTAGAAACTGGCAGGAAACCCATCAGATGCAGCCATGATGGTTTCAGTGACAGACTCTTGCTCTGATGAAGTACATCACAGAGAATATACTCCTCACCAAGTCTATAAATCAACACACTGACCAACTGTTTAAGATGTTTCATTGATTAAGTTTGTACCATCCCATTAAGATCCATACCATATATTTCTTAAAATACACAAATTAGCTTGTACAGATGTTTTGAATACATTTATTGTCTACATTTTAGATACATTATTTTAAGTTGTATATCTGCATTTTAGCATTTACATAAATTACAAAAATATCCTAGCATAAAGAGGAAATATTGTCAATATTTTCACACATTTTAATACATAATGTATAATCTAAAACAAGCAATTGCATTTGATGCAAAGCAGCGATTCATCACAACCTATTCCATTCAGTTTTTCTTGGGTAGTTTCAGTCCTTTAACATGAAATAACTTTATAGTTAAGATATACTTCACCCCGTTAGAAAACAGTTTACAACAACTTTTATTGCCTGTTGCTTATTGCTGTTTTAGACAAACTTAACTTCACCACTCCTAATCAAAATTGTTTATATCCTGCCCAGAAAAGTGCAATTATTAGTCACATTAACAGATATGACATCTAAATGTGTAATCTAGTGTTTTAAAACTATGAATCTTTTGACTAATGTACCTTTTTATGTTTTTAGACAATAAGAGATAAGTTTGTTCTCAAAACAATAAGAGATAAAAATGAAGCATTACCTGGTCAAGATGCTTCAAAGATGAAATGCTCAGTGCTACTGATGCACAGATGAAGGTTTATCTAGTATAAGACTTTTCTGCTTGTAGGCGGAGTTTCAAGCTTAAGTCGTCAACTAGTTTTCTTTGCTTTGGCAATTACATAATAGTATGTCTTAAAATTTTTTAACAATGAACAACACAGGAACCTGGAATTTCCTACCTCGTTCCTTGTTCCTGTGAGGCAAGTTTTGGTACCTGGGCTATATAAGGCGACACCCTTCCCAATATTAGAGCAGCATCATTCAGACACTCTGAGCTAACAGCACAGTGAACGCGAGAAGCACTGAGGGGAAAACTGGTTTTCAACGAGAAAAAATACAGAAGGCGTCATGTTCAGGCTGCAGGTAAGAAATATTCATATAATTTAAGAATCCGTGAAAATGTTTTCTATCATAACTGCATTGGAGACATTTTAATGACCTTTTAAACATACTTTTCATTTCTGTGGCATGAACTGTTACAGAAACTACCGCTGTCAACAGAACCCTTTGTTACTATAAAACCATTGTCTTCTAAGACACTTGCTTCACATCACGCCTGACAAAGATAGCCTGCAGAAACGGATCAGATAAGCCTTTTACAGTTGCATGAGATCATTTGTACATTTTACTCTCTTGTAGAAAACCGTCAGACCGATCTGGGCTGCCAGAAGAATCCACAACTCTGCTGTGGAAGGTGAGAATTTCTGACTCATTATAGTGTTTTTAATTTTTAGACTTTTTTTTAATGTAACTCTTTGTGGTTGAATTGTGGAAGTGTTTCTTTTGCATATCTCATAATCATATTATTTTCCTTTTCTTTCTTTGCAGTGTGTGGCATTTGAATACTTTTGATTATTAGTGTGGCTTAATGTGTTTGACGTAAACATCACTAAACTTCTTTTTAATCTTTGTGATTCTAAAATCAGCTTTTTCTATGTATATTTGTACACTGTAAATGTATAACTCTTGTCACCATTTTAGGTTAATATTTTACTTTAGATAGACTTTCTAAACTTTACCCTTCACATCCTCATTAACCCTCAGGTAAAAGAGAAATATTTTTTTTTCTCTCCTTTCAACAGTGCTGAGGAGCCCGACTCCTGAGGAAACAGTCACTGCTAGTTTCGGGGAGTTTATCAGTAAGGTCAAGTCCGAGCACCTGTCCTCTGTGGTTCTCCACCGCAGTAAAAGAATGGTACTGGACAGCATTGGTGTTGGTCTCATTGGTAGCACAACTGAGGTGTTTGAAATGGTGCTGAAACACTGCAAGGTAGGAAATAGAAAATGTCAAAATATGTATATAGGTTGATACAGTCCCACTATTTGACTCTTTTATTCAGCTTGTAGCAAACTTGTAGAATTGGACAAATTCAAAACTACATTTTACATTTATTCAAATATTCAAAATCTAATCTTAATGAAAGATAAATGTTTCTTTTTCAACTGTAACTTAATATTTCATGTAAAATTTTTATTGTAACCAAAATTAACTGTATTCTTTTAAACCCCAGCACATGTACGGCCATGATAACATCTGCTCAGTGTACGGAAAAAGAGGCATCAGGCTCTCCCCAACACTGGCAGCTTTTGTCAATGGAGTGGCGGTAAGTGCTGTTATGCTACTATTACAAATAGACTGCTAGTATTTTACATCAGTAATAAAATAAAATAAAAAAATCCCAACCAGCACAATCAGGATAAAATTTTGAAAGTGATCCTTTGTGTAACTTTGTTAAAAGTGTCAAACATTGTTTATTTAAGGTGTATCACCAAATCAAAAAGAAAAAGTACAGTTCATAGCATTTTTAGACATTGTTTATTCTACTAAGAAAGATGCCTTTTTCTATTACTAAATAATTAAAAAACTTTTTTTTTTTTTTTAATCACACCGCAGACTCACTCCATGGACTTTGACGACACCTGGCATCCAGCAACTCACCCATCCGGAGCCGTCCTTCCTGCTGTGTTAGCGCTCAGCGACATGATGCCGGCCAGCAGGAAGCCCAGCGGTCTGGACTTCTTACTCGCGTTTAACGTGGGCATCGAAATCCAGGGCCGCCTGATGAGGTTCTCCAACGAGGCCCACAATATTCCTAAAAGGTCAGTTCTTCAGAGTTGGATTGCATTCGCACTGGAACTTCCAGACTATTTGTAACTGAAATACTAAAAAGGTAAATTTGTTAATGGTTTGAATCACATACTTTTTTTATGTCTTTGCAGATGATATTTCCTTTTAAAGTTAAAAGTGTATATGCTGAAAAAAAATTGTTGTGGAAGGTTTTACTGCGTAGTTTGTGCAAAGTGAACCTAACAAAGGCCTCACACACTTCAAATGTGTGAGGCCTTTCATAGCTGCATAGTGTTTTTCCCCTCCTCAGCACAGAAACTCAGAGATGTTTTGCTTACTTTTGTGCTTGGGTTTGTCTCTGAACTGTGGTACCTTTGGCTTTCTTTGGCTAACTGGAGCTTTTTCTGTTGACACTGCTCCTTCCTGAAACAGGTAAAGCTCATCCCAGGTTCAGTCAGGACAGAAATGTGGTTTTCATCAGCAAAAATTATGATGATGCACAGAGTTTCAATACTTTCAGTTTGGGTACACAAAAACACTGGACGAGCAGAGAAAACAACTCTTCATATTTAGCTTGGAGGCTTTTTTGGGATAATTAGATTCATAAGTTTCCTTCGCATCATCACATTTTTAGATTCTCTGAACACTGCAACTAGAAATGTTTGACACTCTTGATATTGAAATATGGCTAACTTTTTAAATACTAATTATGTTTATTCAGTAGGCATTCAGGTCTCTGTTTGTCCTTCGTCAGGTTTCATCCTCCCACTGTGGTCGGTCCCATGGGAAGTGCAGCAGCCTGTGCTCGCCTCCTGTCTCTGGACTCCTCTCAGAGCAGCCATGCCTTGGCGATAGCTGCTTCCCTGGCTGGAGCTCCCATGGCTAACGCTGCCACTCAGTCTAAGCCCCTCCACATCGGCAACGCCTCACGCCTTGGGCTTGAAGCTGCCCTTCTGGCATCCAGAGGCCTAGAGGCCAGTCCTCTGGTGTTGGATGCTATTGCAGGAGTGGCAGGCTTTAGTGCTTTTTATGAAGATTACATGCCACAGCCTTTAGATTCACCCCATGATGGCCATGCATTCCTGCTAGAGGAGCAGGACATGGGCTTCAAGCGCTTCCCCGCCCATCTGGGGATGCACTGGGTGGCAGATGCTGCAGCTTCCGTCCATAAGCTTCTAGTGGGCGTTGGTCCTGGAAAGGTCTCTCCAGATCAAGTCCAGGACATCTTGCTCAGAGTTCCCCTCTCTAAATACATCAATAGGCCTTTTCCTGAGTCGGAGCATGAGGCCCGCCACTCCTTCCAGTTTAACGCCTGCACCGCTCTCCTGGATGGTGAGGTGACCGTCCAGTCCTTCACGCCAGGCGCCATTAGCCGCCCCGAGCTCCGTGCTCTGTTGAGCCGCGTTCGGCTGGAGCATCCCCACGACAACCCCGCAAACTTCAACGTGATGTACGGGGAGGTCCAGGTGATGCTTGTGGGAGGAGACATTCTGAAGGGACGCTGTGATACCTTCTACGGCCACTGGCGCAACCCGCTGACCAACGAGAGCCTGAGGAAGAAGTTCAGGAACAACGCAGAGGTGGTGCTTCCATCGGCGAAGGTTGAGCGGCTGATCGAGGCGGTGGACGAGCTGGACAGACTTGACGACTGCCAGCACTTGCTCTCACAGCTGCAATGAAGATATATTGCAAATATATTTAATATATATGATGAGTTTCATTGTCAACAATAAACACTTATTTGTACATTTTATCATCTTCATGCTTCTTTAAATTGTATATATTCTGTACTTCAAATTTTTCTGTTTGAGAGTTACGTTTGCAAAAATGTTCTTTTTCTGGAGTTCTTGTAAGCTGATATATCTATTTGTGTACATCATACTGCTGTGTAAAAAATATGTTTTCAAATATAAGAAAGATAAATGTATCACAAAAATCTATCAGTAAGCCATAGAGTTGTGTGCAAACAACTGCTGTCATAACACTTTGTTTTAGTATTTATATTTTTTCTGCATTCTTTTCTCTATGTGGAACTGTCTCTTTCATTTTGCCTCAGTTCTTCTCTGAATATTATCATATAAATCATGTGTCGTAAACATAAAACTGGCCTGGTGTGCTTTCCTGGATCTACCTTTTTATGTTGATGAAGCCGCCAGTCCTTTGAAACCCTTCAAGGATAGGAGACAAAGAGGATGAATCAATGGCTGGATCATCAGGAATAAAATACCCTCTCCAAAACGTCTTGAAAGAGAATCATTCTCTGTGGTTGAAAAAGTGGCAAATATTGCACTTATTTACAAGCCATTATAGATTAGCTGACATAAATTATATTTTCTAACACCATGAACTCGGTTCTGTTTAACTGAAATATTAGATCTCAGCGATTCTCCCCAGGGTAAATGATTAAAGACGCTGGATGGAGGGATATTTTTCATCTTACAGTATATTAATATTAATTACCTAAAAACAAATCTCAACAAGACGGAGAACTGCACCATCAGGTGGAGGATCTGTGCTTCCCAAAATGTAGTTCCAATATAACTACAATTTGTTACACTGCTGCTAATCAGACAGTAAAATTATGCAAAAAAACACAAAGACACACAGCAGCAAACTGAGCCGGATGGAATCACAAAATGAAAACATTTTGCTTGTTACCGAATGAAGTTTGCATTCAGGTTGTGCTCAAACTAATGAGTCTTCATGCATTTAAACAATTTTATTGGTTGTCTTTAAATAAGTTTTCATTTTTAAATTAGTATTTAGTGTTTAGGACTCTGAATTGTGTTGATAATTGCAAAAGTGATGTGAGCAAAAGAATGTTAAAAGGAAGGCTATTTTCAGAAAACAAGAATTCATTAAAACTCAAGGGTTATTTTTTTCAGCGGAGTGAAGCCTAAAGTGAGAGGAGCATGCTGACAGATATTTTATGTTGCAGTAATAAGCAGCAGCATCTAGGGGGAGACAAGAGAATGAAAAGTCAGCAGGAAAAAGCAACAAAAACCTCTTAGTTCTCAGAAAACTGTGGAAAATCAGGCTTAACACACTATGAGTCATTCCAGGTCCACATTTATTTTTATGGCTGGTATCTTTAAATGTATCTGAGTAATAACAAAGCAAATTCATCTATTTAAAAATATCAGCATTAAATTCAAAATGTTTTGGTATTCATTTCTGAAAGTCCTTTAAGTTCGCCTTTAAACTTAAGCTGCTTTTTTTGCTTTGTTTTCAGACCTGCCTCTGACCATTTTTAAAATAAAGGTTGTGTCTATTTATTTATTTATTTGTTTATTTTTTGTTAAATCACTGAACTCTGACATATACATTTTTATCAGAAAAATTCGAAGCCGTCCAGTACTTTACGTCATCGAGACAGATGAACCAGTCATGACAAAAGTAAATGTAGCAAAGAGCCCATTTTAAAAAGGATCCTTTGGGGAATAATGGATTCGTCAGATTTACCTCCATCTTTAAAAAGCCTTCTATAAAAAATATGTTGTTTGTTAAAACTATCTCTATGTCATGACAGCATAATATGAGACTCTGCTGCATCAAGAAGGCAGTATTGCTTTATTTTTGTTTCTTGCGCTCCGCCTGAGACTCTTAAATCCAGGCTGGTCTTTGTTTGTTTCAGTTACTTGAAACACACAAAAACTGGAAGTTGAAGTGTTTTGTTAATAAATTCTGATATCTTAGAAATTATTTGTGTGTGCTTATTCTGTATTCTTAATACAGAACAAACATTCTCAAACAGCAGAGCTTGCTGTTTGAGAATGTCAGTCCAGAACTTAATCCACGTTTCAGACCAAACGTCACTAGTAAGGTATTCAGAAACCAGTAAGTTACTGAAACTGAGAGCTTTTTGGATATTAATTCCTCATAATTAGGCGCCACCTCGATTTGGTCATTATGATCACAATTACTAACTTTGTTAATATGTATCTTTGACACCCATTAATATTTATTCATAGCCACACTAAGCCTATTGTTGCATAGGTCAATTATAATTCTGTTGATAATTACTGTTTGTGCAAGCATTGCTCAGAAAGGATCTTGCATTTGCTTTTTCATGACATATGTTTGGAATAATGTCATAACGTCAGAGAGGAAAGGATGAGTAATTAGTTTTGAAAAGGGCTGTTAATGTTTGCTTTGTTGATGTAGAGATTTCTGCAATTGTTTTCTGGTAGCAGGTCATGAATATGTAAAAAAAAAAAAGCAAAAGAATCAAGGTGAGCAGAATGAGGTGATGGGGAATTTTTCTTTAAACTATTTTCTCCGAATATTCACAAGGTTCCTGGTTCTGACGGTAAAAGATGTCGTAGCTTTTCCTTTTGACCAGCATTTATGGTCAACAGTATTTCCTTGTGAAAATACCGATCATTTTACACTTGAACAAGCAAAAGACAGAAGTGATGGTCTCTGGTGGCACATTTGACAACTCGAACATAGACTTTGGTTCTCTTTTATCATCTTTGACATACGGAGATTGATGGCTCTGATTTTTTGTGTGTTTTTTTCACAATAACAAGGCTAACGTCATGTTATGTAGAACCAATTCAGCATATTGATTATTTGTACCTGATTGTGTGTGTGAGAAAAACTCTGGAATAAACTGGAAACTGGATATCACCCTTCAACATCTCATGTGAAACACTTTTGCTGGGCAAACATACATATATTGTCTATATATTGAACAGGTTTGCACAATGAAGATGGGTCTACAGTTTTCCCAGATTTTCTTACATTTCTGACTTCTGTGTATGATTTTATTTTAGCTGAAGAAGGACCAAAATGTACACAAATAAAACAAGCAAAATAAAGTAAAAAGTTAACAATTTGTCATTCATCATTTATTTGTTGAGAGAAGTGATCCAGCATCATTAATCTGTAAATGCCAAAAAAAGAAAAATAATAAAATAATAATAATAATAATAACTGTGTTATTGTTGTGAACCTGATGCTTTACAGACCTTTGTTTGGAATATGCAAAAAGGAAAATGTTCCTTTTCATTTAAGCACATCTAAATAATCAGAACCTGTCTTAATAAGAGTCAATTATATGTGTGACCAACTATATCCAAATATATAAAAAAAAACATTGAATTAGATGTCAGACACTGCAGGTTGTTCACAATGCAAATCAGTTTCAGTGTTTTGAACTGTCAACCCCCAAAATGCTGACATATTGTCAGACAACAGTTTCGTGAAGACTCTGGTATCCTCACAGCAGTTTTAAACTTGCTCCCTGAAGGCATGTTCAATTGATGTACAGGGTGGACCATAAGTTTCCATACATCTGAGAATGTAAAATGTATATTTCTTTTACATTTTCAGATACCTAAGAAGACGAGTTTGACAAAAGAGCAAAGAATTGAAATTGTACCGATGGCTGGATCAGGAAACAGACGCATGAAACTTTAGCAGAAAACATGGATCGAGCATCACACACACGGCATGTGGCAAAACTTATTTCCAAGTTTCAGAAAACTGGAAGTGTTGCAGATCAACCATGAAGTGGTCCAAGACGTGCAGCGATTACACAGAGTCCCACAAAAATAAAAACATTTTATATAAACAATATGAAATGTTTTTTTTTTCTATGAATGGAAACTTATGGCCCACCCTCTATAGTCAATGAATGGATATATTAAAATTAGCGTATATAAGGACAATGAATGTCATCATTGTCCCTCACCAATCAATCCATTTTATTTTGATCATTGAAACAGTGACATGTCACCAGATTTCCAGCAGTCACCAGATCACACATTCTTCTGCTTTCATTTCGTGATGGTTCTTTCCTCAGTTTCATAATGAAACATCTTTATACTTTTTCGTGGGTTCATTAGTCACTAATTGTTCTTTCACTCTACATGAAAATAAATAGTTTGCTATGAGGGTGTGGTGAGGGAAGATGAATCGAGCAGGTTTTAACAGAATAACCTCTATTGTTTCAGATTTCAACAGAAACTGCATCAATCACAATGCATTCTCCATTACTAGAGCAAAACGTAAACAGTCAGAGATAACACAACACAAAAGGCATGTAGATCAAACAAAGAAATGTTTTTAAATAGCCTCCACACACCTGAATGAGGTCACTGTCTTGTACTTTTCAGGGATGGTGGTTTCCATGTAATATGACGACGTAGGTCTTTTGAGTAAAGTTTATGAATTTTAAAATGATGTCACAATGGTAGGAGTTTCCAAAGCTGAAGGGTATATAATGACTGACAGACAAGAGCCAGACAGAATCCAGACTTACTGGGGGACTGAGCAGACAACAGGTATGAAAAGACACCTTCTGCTGTAGTTAAAGCTTAGACTTTGGAGAATAATATTCTACCTAAACAAAAAAAAAAATATTGCCCCATTTGCCCATGTTCCATCAGTATTTGTAAATCAGGAGTGTTTTGTTCAGCTTTTTTGCAGGAATTGGACAACAGAAAGATTTTTGGAGAGTTTTACGTCTCTGCAGTCTCAGAGTTGTTTTTAGTGCACACGGAAATAGAGTTTCTTATATTTACAAGTCCAATTAACTTGATTCAAGCGTGTAACAAGTTATAAACTGAGCACAAGTGCTGCGGTGTGCTTATTTTGAAGTGTATGTTCTTTATAACCAGCAAATAACTAAAGCCAGGTCAGTGTGAAGGCTCACCTTTAACGGCGTTGATTAAACTTAAGCTCTTTTCAACTTTTAAATTTCGCCTTCAGTCGACATCTCACCA